TACCTCCAGTATCTGTCTTACCATACTGACATACCTGTATCACTAGTTGCCTTCAGTATCTATCTTATCATACTGACATACCTGTATCACTTATTACCTCCAGTATCTGTCTTATCATACTGACATGCCTGTATCACTAATTACCTCCAGTATCTATCTCATCATACCGACATACCTGTATCACTAATTACCTCCAGTATCTATCTCATCATACTGACATACCTGTATCACTAATTACCTCCAGTATATATATCATCATACTGACATACCTGTATCACTAATTACCTCCAGTATCTATCTCATCATACTGACATACCTGAATTACTAATTACTTCAAGTTTCTATCTTATCATACCGACATACCTGTATCACTAATTACCTCCCGTATCTATCTTATCATACAGACATACCTGTATCACTAATTACCTCCAGTATCTATCTCACCATACCGACATACCTGTATCACTAATTACCTCCAGTATCTATCTCATCATACTGACATACCTGTATCACTAGTTACCTCAAGTTTCTATCTTATCATACCGACATACATGTATCACTAATTGCCTCCAGTATCTATCTTATCATACTGACATACCTGTATCACTAATTACCTCTACTATATGTCTCATCATACCGACAAACCTGTATCACTAATTGCCTCCAGTATCTATCTTATCATACTGACATACCTGTATCACTAATTACCTCCAGTATATGTCTCATCATATTGACATAACTGTATCACTATTTACCTCCCGTATATATCTTATACTGACATACCTGTATCACTAATTACCTCCAGTATATGTCTCATCGTACTGACATACCTGTATCACTAATTACCTCCAGTATATGTCTCATCGTACTGACATACCTGTATCACTAATTACCTCCAGTATATGTCTGATCATACTGACAAACCTGTATCACTATTTACCTCCCGTATATATCTTATCATACTGACATACCTGTATCACTATTTACCTCCCGTATATATCTTATCGTACTGACATACTTGTATCACTAATTACCTCCAGTATATGTCTCATCGTACTGACATACCTGTATCACTAATTACCTCCAGTATATGTCTGATCATACTGACATACCTGTATCACTATTTACTTCCCGTTTATATCTTATCATACTGACATACCTGTATCACTATTTACCTCCCGTATATATCTTATCGTACTGACATACCTGTGTCACTAATTACCTCCAGTATATATCTTATCGTACTGACATACCTGTATCACTAATTACCTCCAGTATATATCTTATCATATTGACATACCTGTATTACTAATTGCCTCCTGTACCTGTCTGTTCGTACTGACATACCTGTATCAATAATTACCACCTGTATCCGACTTATCATACCAATATACCTGTATCACTAATTACCTATCGTGTCCCTTTCACTATACTGACATACCTGCATTACTAATTTCCTTCAGAATGTGTCGAACATACTTAACTACCTATCGCACGAATTACCCCCGTATGCGCTCATCATAATTACACAGCTATACCAATAATATTCTAATGTTTAATGTGTCCCATAGCCGGACCGCTTATTACTCTCGGTATCTGCCTTGTCACCTCAGATTTACCTGTCCCGTAATTACTAACAGTGTATTACTACAGGTATTATGTATCGTCTCGACTGCCCACAAGTGCATAGTAACTATCACGCTGCACCGGAGTTGAACAAGCACACCTGTATCCCCAGTCAACTCCCACATATACCCAACCCACGTATACAACGCTGACCTACACAACTTACCTGAGCGCTGCTTTTGTTTTTTCTTTTTCCTGCTTTCCACACCTGTGACAGCGAGGAGCATGATGATGACAAGTACACACCCCCAAATCAGCTGGCCGTGTCGTGGGGGTAGCATGTCCTCGCGGGACCCTCCACACAGTCCTAGTAATCCCACGCACAATTAAAACTCATATACAGAACAAACGTAGTATTTGACAGCTAGAATGTGATATTGTATTCCCTTTACCAGTACACATGATGAATTCGTTTCGTCTGTAAGCAATGCACAGCCGATTCTCATATCCATAAATGTCATAGAAAGGTTCCTCAGGGGCGCCGAAAGCCGATTGGTCCCTTATTGACAGGCCAGATAATGACACTGTTCCCTTAGTCTGATGACAAAACTCCCGATGTTAGTAAAATAGTCCGAACAGTCTCCAACAACGTCCAAACATCTCCTCCCGTTAAGATTACATTGGAACATAGGAAACACATGCTTGCTTCAACTTAATCGTATAGCACTTCGCTCCTAACACTCCATCTCTGAAAGCCTAACTAGAGACCGCTCTTAGTTCATTGGTAGAAAAATTAAGTAGACAAATTCATCACACCGTATGATGGTTCTAACAGGTAATGTTTCTCTTAAACTCTCATTTGTTTTCCGTAAACCAAATTGCACAAATTACGTTTCTTACGTTATTTGTGTCGAGACTACAGAGTTTGGCAGCAGCTGATCCCCATAACAGGAGATTCCCCCGATGGTATGTAGTCTGTCACAAACTCTACAACAGGCAAGTTCGTTGATGCATGCCGTGAATGTCTAAATACGCGACAGGGTCTGGCCGTCAAGTATATAGGTTTTAGCTGGCACACAGCATAACGACAGATTACAGAGACCGATATGAAAAAAATAACCTTTGGCTGACTGAGAGGCTATAAAAAATGCTGTATTGGTAGCCGATTGTATTAGAAGAGGGGAATGAGTTGGGGGATTGACTATCGTGCCGGGCCCTGAGTGACACGGATATCGGCGATATCCTCATTTACAATGATTAACTTATACACTTTCTTTTTAATTTTAAAAAACGAAGGTGATATTCAGTTGTTATTAAAATGATTAACCTTTGCCCTCTGTTGTAATGTAGTGTGGGGGTACACGTCTCCCACACGGAAAGCACGTGTTCTTCATAATTTACATGGAGATGTCGGAGTCAAGTATCTTGCAAATAGATATGGTTCTAATGAAACAACATTTAAAGTTGTCTGGCGTGTGAGATTTTTTAAGTCATTACATTACAAGAGCTGCACGTGTCTCATGACAACACGGGTGCTTCGATAGGTGACTTGTGCCCTCGTGTATATTACCGTGAAAATATAATTGAATACATTTCTCTACAATCTAAACACATGATACTAAATATCATTATGATTAATATAATGACCAAAATTTCATAAAAATGGATTATTTTAAATAAGAAGCTAATAAAAGGTTATGTAAGGTGCGGAACGGTGCATACTGTGTATACGTAACGCATATAGCACACATGAGTCTTACTACGCTCTGATTCTCTGATACCGACGGAGACGGAGATTCTCATGCCACTTTACGATGTAAAGTGCATCTCTTTGATACCGTACGAAAGAAATCAAACAAAATGCTAATACGTAGCCATGCATTTAGCAAAACGGTATTGAATTTGGTGACATGTAAATTGTTTAGCCCAATATAATATAGATCTCGTTTGCATGTGGCTGAATGGCGAGGTGCGTTCGTATACATTCACAATTTCTACCGATGTTTGATATACACCACATGATTGTCTGATTCCGATCAAGGTATATTGACACTGTCATGTTTTTAAAACGATTTTAGAATACGCACTCAAATATTAAGACCAGGTGTGAATTTTATATTGGCTTTCGTTCAATACAATTACATGTATATGAAATGTTGGTGCACACAGTATTTGCAGTTCTCATCAATATAATAAAATACAACTCATGAGTCCGGTTTAAAGGTACCGTTCTAATGTATACTTGGGTAGGAGGCAGTCTTTTCAAATTAATGATTTAAACTTTCACACATGAAAACGTATAGAAAATTTTAACTCATGTTTTTATTTATTATTTACAATTTGGTATTTTAGTAATCAGTGGAAGTCGAAAAGTGATCTGTTCATTGATATACTTTATTCCCCTTGTATAATTACGTGTATTTATGCTATCAGGCATTTGACCGTTGTGTAGTCTTGTCCATTATCATATTTGACCTTTATAGTGCCTTGATTATAATGAATTAGGCATATTTTACCGTTAAATGTCCTTATTCATTATTAATTACGCTTATTTGACCTTTGCATTGCCCTATACATAATATAATCACTTAGACGTTTTTTACCTTTTTGTTGCCTTATTCATTATCAATTAGGCTTATCTGGCCGTTAATTGCATTATTTGTTATCCATAATACATACATGTATTTCACTATTTTGTTAACTAATTCATTATCAATAATTCATATTTGACCGTTACATGGCCTTATTCATTATCAATAAGATCTATGTAACCGTTGAGCTGCCGTGCTCACTGCCATATTTACAAATCGCTTTTTTTCATATGTACGTATTCGTATCGGCTTTTTGAATCAATATGAGATTTTCATGAAGATCTCATTTTGCAATCATTGCCAAATCATTCAAATAGATGATCATGGTATAAATGCACTTGGATGTATTTTGTGAATCAATTTCACAAAAAACGTTTGACACCAATTTGCAATATTTCACTGGGTAGTGTTTTAAGAAAAATAATTATGAATATGGTTTTACTTTCGGTGTATATAATCGTATTTTAATAATCAAAAGGACGCAATGACTTTCACAAATTCGTTCGAAAATCAACAAAACACTTAAAAAATTCAAATTCATGGCCACAAGTGTCACAGATAGGAAATCTATCGCGTGCTATATATCTTTGAAGTCGTATAGAATGTCTGTGAAAGTCAAGTTACCACGAGAGGTATGGGTTGGTGAGTCTCTACACTTGTAACAGACAACATGTCCGCGTGTCTTTATAGATATATATAAGAAGGAACATGCCACAGATAGTTATTTAGACGATGTGGGTGTTTTTTGGACCGTGGGATATTTTTTTCATTCGTTAATGACTCGAAGAGTGTTGAATGGTAGGAATGCCTTACATTGATCAGCAAACGACATAAAATAGTTAACTTACGTCAGTGGAAAGGGGCGTTGATGAAGCGGATAGGGTCTATAAATGGAAAAATGACGGTGAAACGGTGGCGTCAAGTACAATGTATCTAACGGTAGGGGGCAACGGTTAAGGGGAAAAGGAAGTGGTCAGTAAGTTGGTGACGCCGGGTATCTGAAATAGGGATGTCTATGACTGGCGAAGCGACGTTGAAGAAACTAGTGTCAACAAAAGGCTTTGGTGATAAAAGGACACTGGATACCGGGGACAGCGTTGACGAGATAAGCGTCATTCGGGATGGGACGTTATCTTCGTATATTTCCATTTGCTCTGCATTGCCACTATATAACCTTACCAAAACCAAATAGAAAGATATCAGATCATAATTCTCACATATTTCCCATTGGTGTAGTGATATGAAGAATATGTTTGTGACGTCGTGACTAAATGACGTCGTTTTGACCGACGTCACTATATGAAGTGTATTATTAACGTCATGAAACATTGTCGCAATACGCGTTCCTCGTGGTAACCCACCCGTGCTACTGGATGAAAAAAACCCACAATTGATCAATGTAACTCGCAACAATTTATGCCGTTATGTTGTATAAAAGGTGAATATCCTCACAGGGAAATATAATGATTAAACTGTTGATATTAAATTGATGATTTTGAGTTAATTTCAACGAACTATATTGTTTTGCCGGGAACGGTCGCTTGTACTCGTGACGTCACAAGAACAGCTCCCATTGACATACAGCGCGAAATTTGACTTTGAAATGCGATAACAGGTTGGAAATATAAGAAAAACTTAAATTAAGTTCAGAGGCATTCTATGAACGCCATGACTCGATTGTTGAGGTCATTTCTATTATGACGTCATAGTAGTAACGTTTGATACCACTGCCCCTCTCTGGAAAGATGGCTGGTCCATTGATTGATCTAGCATATAAGATAATGCATTATGTGAAGTTAATGCTGAATACTGAATCGTGTAATTGATTTTTTTATGAAATGAACAGATTCAAAAATTGGTAAATATAAGTTTTGAACTTGAAGTAATTTCAATGCTTTAAAAAGGTACGTTGGGATGGATTTCGGAGAAGATAGTGACGACGTTGAAGATGATATTGTCAACGATGGAAGTAACGTTAGAAATGGGACGGGTCTCTGTAACGTAAAGGGCTTTGGTGGTACACGGTTGTCGGTGATGGGAGGGACATCGATGATGAAAAGCATAAATGATGACAGGGTATTTTAGGAAGAGAAGAAGGTGGGGCGTTGTGATAAGAGCGGCATCGGAGACGGAAGTGACGTAAGTGATGGTAGATATGCCCTTCAGATGTGTCGGTGGTCGAGCAGCTCTGAAAATGTTGACGTAGCGTCATATATAGAGGTGGCGTTGGTAAAGGGTCAGGTGACCGGGACATGCTATTAAAGCGACGCCATGATCTTGTCTCATGTCTATCCAAGTTGTTTTCCATTTAAGGATTACCCGATGGTCGTAGCATGGATTCCTCTGGTGCATTTTTTTTCTCAATATCACAAATAGTTCTTTTAATTTTGATATATTAAGACAATTAGGACGAGTAAAAGGTTTACTGAAACGTGTCGTCGTTTGGATGGGTCGTCAAAAATGGGAAAGGCGTCGTTGAAACAGCTACATGTGTATGTCAACGATGAAAAGGATTTCGGTCATTGATAGGTTTTCCATTTGCTATAGTTTACATTTGAGGTATTCCCACAAAATAGGTGTTTTAAAAATTACAATTCAATTCATGTGGGGGAGGGGGCGCATTGACTAATTAGTTAAGGCATTTTACCATCTACGACCACTAGCCCGCCACCACTGGGTCGCGGGTTCGAGGCCTACTTAGGGCAGTCGCCAGGTACTGACCGTAGGTCGGTGGTTTTTCTCCGGGTACTTTCACCACTAAAAACCCGTCTCATCC